GTAATTATACCTTGTCACGTATATTAAAATATGATTGTTCTTTATAATAGGCATTTGCATTAATCTTTTATTGTTTTTGAGCTTCTTTTAATTGTGCCTTCATTATTACATATAATTCCAATAAACAATTTATTAAATCTTTTGCCACAAGATTGTTGACTTTTGAAAAGTCAAAAGTATCAAATTGAAGATAATAATAATAATAATTGGCAAAAAAAATGTTTGTTGAATAGAAGAATATATCAAATTTTTGTATGCAAACTCTACCAATGGCAAAAGAATTATCTAATCATCTTAAAGATAATTATTTGTACACCTCAAATACTACTTCAAAACTTAATTTTTTTGTTCCATTTGTCTATCAGTTTAATGATAAAAAGCCATAGAGAATTTTATATCCACCTTTAAAATCTTGAAAAGGGTGTTCCAAAATCTTCATAGAAATTGAGTCCTTCTATTTAATCTAATATCCTTGGATAATCCATCATAATGATAGATATTATTAAAAAAAAGTTTAGTCGTTTCTTTACTTAAGATAGATTTTGTACATGATACAAAATGTACCATCTTAATAAAATAATCTACTATCACAAATATAGAATCATATAAACCTAAAACTAGAAGATCTATGATAAAATCCATAGAAATAAAAGACTATGATTTTTTTAGAATAAGTAATAGTTGAAGAAGTTCATAAGGTCGATGACGAGGAGTTTTGAATTTTGAACAAATATCACATGATTATACAAAGTCTTTAACTACCTTCCACATTTGAGGCCACCAAAAATCTCTAAATATTACCTCCCAAAGTCTTATTATATCTAAAATATTTGATTGTTGGAAAGTCATGATGAGCTTGAAAAATATTTAATTATGCTTTGCATTTTGAAATATATAATTGTCCCTCAAAACAGAATATATTATTCTTAAATTTGAATTTAGAAGAATCATGAGACTTAAAAGAATTATTTTTTAATATCTTAAAGAGGAAGATTGGAAGACATACTTGATTGAACTTATTTGAGAAAGATTGAATCAATAGTCAATATTGATTTTATTTCTCAAAAGTGAAAATGCTCCAACTTCAAAAAATAAAATAAAATAAAATAAAATAAATATTGATCAAAAGATGCATACTTTTTTTTTTGTACAAGATAAGAATTTCTAGAAAGGACATTTGCTCCAATAAGCTTGGCAATGTTTCAAAACACGTGCCAATATGAAGTATTTGAGATTCTTGTAATCTGTATATATAATAAGTAGACTCAAGGTGCTTTTTAAATAATATTTTTATTCTTAAAATGAATCCATGATTATAAGAAGTTCATTATTATAGATTTCATAGTTAATCTCAACTGCTAAAAAATTTCTAAAATAAAAATCTACCAAATAGAATTTATCATCTATTCTCATTTGTGATAAAATAGCACTTATACTAAAATCTAATGTATTTATTTCTATAAAGAATGCCTTAAAAAAATCAATTATATGCATATAATCTTACATCTCTAAATTTTTGTAATACAAGATAAATATAAAGTTTATGTTCTTTTGTGTTCTTATAGAAGATTAGTATGTTGTATAAATAATAGATAACAAAATCATCAAAAAACATTTTAAAAAAAGTCATTTATGAGATGCTAAAAAGTAATTGTTGCATTTATGAAATCAAAAAGCATGATATTATATTCAAAATGTCTATACTTAACTTGAAAAGTAGTATTCTATTCATTTTTTTTATGCAAACTAGGTTGTATGCTCCTTATAGATCTATTTTTATATAGATCTTTATTTGATTGAATTAGTTAAAAAGTCCTAAAATTAGAGATAAGAAATATCTATTTCAAATGATGATCTTTTTAAGTCCTTGATAGAATATTTATAAATAAGATAAGAGCTCCTATTGGAGATTTTGAATGGTGTATGAAGTCCTTAGCTAAGTTCTTGTCAATGTATTCTTTTAGTTCAATCAATTCATTTTGCAATAAGCCATAGATTGGTCTGAATGGTAGTTAAGTTCTTTCTTGCAAATCAATTGAATAATCATAAGATCAATTCTCTAGAAGAATATTTGCATTCTTCTTTTCAAAAATCTCTTAGAAAACTTGATACTAGCTAGGAATATTACTTAACAACTTTCTACCATCAAAAATAGGCATGGTACATATAATCCTTCTTTTGCCATAATAATGCAAGCTTTTGCATATAGCAATAAGGATTTGGATATATTAGACTTATGTATTTTTACTTTATCAACCAAATTTTTGATCAAACTATAAGAAAAAATAAGATTACAAGAAATCTAATCTATTTGAGAGTTATACTTTTTTAACTACAATAATCTTAAAAGAATTGGATTGAAAAGAGATCTTAGTACATTAAATATTACTATATTATTTTGATCTTTAATTGCTACATTTAAAAGAACAATTTCATAAGAAACATCTCCAAAAGATAGCAAACGACCATCTATGACTTTTACATGTATGGGTTTAGTTTTCTAAACTAAAAATATCTCTTATTTTTTTAACAAAGTCTTTGTCTAAAAAATAGGCTGAGGCTCTTAAATCTAACAAGTCTAAGACTTTGTAATTTTTTTGGTCCTAAATGAATTTCTATTATGAAACAAGGTGAGGGATTTGAAGAGAGAATAAGATCTTTAATAGGTATTATGCAAGATTCTATTTGCACAGTCCCTATTATATTTGGAGAACTTGTTTTCTACCATATCATCTTCTTTGGCAACCATACTCGTCATTTTATGATTGCATTATTTTTTAAGACAATGTTGAATAATATTCTTGGATTCTCCATAGTATAGGCACAAATCTTCTTGACGACAACAAGTCTTTTTTTGATTAGAAAGAGGTTTAAAATATATTGTGTCAATTTACATAGGCTCTAGCTTGAATAAGTAAGCTTTCAAAAACTTAGAAAGTGTTGCTATGACTTGACTTGTATTTCTTCAACCAAACCTTTATTCTTGTCATCTTTCAAAGAATCGATTATTTTATGTAATGAATTGAGTAATAAATTGCTCCAATGAATCTGTTCTTGGCATTATTAATAATAAATCTGTTCTTGGCATTATTAACAATAAATCTTTGATATTATCTTTTAACTCATATCAAAATTGATTGATAAAAGCTTTGTCATTCCAATCCATGTCACAAGCAAGATTTTGGAATTTAGCAACATATGTGGTAGTTAAACATAATCTTTGTCACAACAATAGAAGCTTGGTTTCTACTACCCTTTTTCAATAACTTTTTCCAAATATAATTGTAAATACTTTCAAGAATGAATTAAAAACATAGAATAGTTGTGAATCTTTTTCCATTAAAGGTGCAAACCAAGAGAGAATACTTCTTGATAAAAATGCATTTATGAATCCAACTTGAGTAAATCCATCAAGATATTGGAAAAGATATAATCTTAAATAGAGCTCAATTTGTTGCAAAAATCTTTAAAATTTTGTTCTTATTCCATTAAACTTCTCAGACATACTAATTCTTATTTCTCTTATATTGATAGAAGCAAGATTTCTTAAATTTTGGTTGTGAGGCTAATCTACTTGCTTCTTTCAAGTACACAATTTCTTAGTATAGATTCTAAACTTCTTCTATTTGTGTAGGAATAATACCTCTATAATTTATGTTAAAAATACACGAGATTTTTATTTTTAGACTATTGACAAGCTCATAAAGATCTAAAATAGTTACAAATCTATTCTCATTTCCATTAAAAGTAGCATCTATAATCTTTTCTTTTATAGATAACTCAAAATTAAATTAAATTAGAGGATGATAATTTGTAACTAAAAATTAAAGAATCATTATTAAAAAACTAAATTGTTTATTTAAAAGTAGGTAATTTGTAACCTTCAAAATAAAAAATAGAAGTAGAATAATTCACTTACTTCTAAAATAAGATAAGAATAATAAATTAGCATTCTTGTTAAACTATCAAAGATATGAATCTAAAAGAACTAAAAGGTCAATATATTCTTTGGTCACTCAAAAAGACTAAAAAATCATTCAAAGATGATATAGTATTAAATTAAAATAGCTATTGCCAAAGACAATAAGACTAGAAAACCTTAAAACAAGACTAAGGACTAAAAATACATTGACAAGAGTGAAGAAGGCTTCATTCTTGCCTCTATATATACAATCTTACTAGAAGCTACATGGCAATATTCTATAGAACCTCTAACATGTGCTGACTTTGTTAGATACATGTCTTAACTTGCAAGGCAAGTTTTTCTATATATGTGCCACATAGTTAGCTTGTTCCACAAGTTACCAACATATATGACATATGGTAAACTTGTTGATCAAGTTTTTAATCTATCAATTAATTATAAACATGTGTAAAGTCAAAATCACATCTATAAAGCTTCTATGAAGCTTTTCTAAAAGATATTATGAAATTAATCTATATTTACCTACTTCCATCTAATTGTATAAGTAATTATTGGTATAAATATGTATATGTGTGATACTTCTAAGCTATTTTAAGAATACAAAAGCAAAAATTCAAATTATTTTTTATTATTTTCAAGTAATATCTATAGCTTGGCTACAATACTACTTATTATTTCAAATTTATTAGGCAATTAGATTTTCTAGATTAGAATCTTAATTTTAGAATTGTAAAAAATTCAAAGCATAGAGATCAAAAATTGGAATTTATTCTAATATACTACAAATTACAGAGGTGATTTTGTAAAGTTTTAATAATCAAAGTTTATTTATTAAGAAACTTTATATCAAATTTTAATATATATATATATATAGAGAGAGAGAGAGAGAGAGAGAGAGATGGTACATCGAGTTGTTACATCCTCATTACATCTGTTCTATACTGACACCGCTGGAATGTCGGTATCGGTGAGTTGAGGTATCACATCCCCATGAACTCAGGACGTCTCACGGATTCTCCTCACAGCTTAGGCTTCCGAACATGCTTTCGTACTGGACATGGATGGGTCCTTACGTCTTCGGTGCTAGGCTACTTCGATGATGAGCGCCACTGTGTCGCTTATAAGATCCAGTAACTCAATAGGTTTCATGAGTTGTTCGGTAGCATCGTGCCTTGTAACTTCGTTACACATGTGATAACGTTGATTCTGGGTACCTGCAAGTGTCTAGAGCCGGTTAATTTCGTGCATCTAGTCCCTGACAACTTCAAACAAGTGTTTTTTTTCTTTTCTTCTTCTTCTTCGTCTTCTAGTGTGAAGATTGTTGGAGCGCTCTGGAACGCTTGCAGCTTCTCCGTGACCGAACCATCTGCTTCACAAAAGTGAAGTTGGAAGTCCTGTTTCTGGAGTCAAGTCCCTTGACAGCAGATAGGCTTGATATCCTTCCTGTTCGCAGTTTCAATGTCAGAGCCACGTTGCACAGGTTCCTCTACTGTAGTCGAGGTTGTCAGTGTAGTTGCTGAAGTCACATAGCCACCACCCAGCGTTTGGTAAAGACAACAGTCTTCTCTGAAAAACTGTTGTCTTCTCTAAACGCTGTCTCATCTGCCTATCATTTCCGAAGCACGGAGTCTGCGTCGTGCCGAGGGAGGACAGGATTTCTCCTATCCTTAAACAAATCAAGTTGAAGAGGTTCTGCACATGGGTTGATGTGCGCGTAACTTAATAGTAATGATCCTCAAGGCTATCTTCTGGTTCCAAGTGCAGCTTCCAGAGTTTCGAAGCAGGATTAACTCTGAGCAATACCGATTCGTCAAACATCACCAGAATCGAAGCACGACGCAGCTGTAGAAATTTCCTTACACCTAGCCGCTCTAAATAAGGTTCAGTGTGGTTAACTTAACAATCACACAAGGGCATTTCAAGATGGATTAAGAGATCTTCACAATTAACGATCCATGTTTGCTACACAACACAATGCGACAAGCGTGGAAGAAAGATCTTGCGCAGGTCGAAGGGGAGACGAGCAGCTGGGCATCGCAATCTGCATCATCCAGGGCAGTCGTCCAAGAGTTGGATGAACGAAGGACCATTGGATTTGTTTGTCCATTAACAGTGCTTGAGTTTCTTTGTCGTGTAATTGTTTTAAGTATGTGGTCTCAAGTCTGCATTATGTGATGTTCCCTTCGATGATGCGGTGATGTGCTATTATGGGTTTCTCACTGGTCGAATGTTTTCTTTTTGTGTTCGTGTGCGTGCATTAGGCTGCTAGTTGAGACAGTAGTTACGAGCCAGTTGAGGAGGCTTGTATGTTTTCAAACTGTTTGGACTAATAGCCATGGCTAACTTGACTAGGTCGATTGATGTAGAAATTTGTGTCCAAGGTCGCGGTCTTACACATTTTCCGAAGCAGGAAGGGCAGAGTCGCGACAATCCACACGGTGTTTTTGGAGCTGGATTAGACATAAACTTTAGCTGGCTGCTATTGGAAGTCTTCATGGACTCTTGAAGTTCGGTGAGAGACATCAGTCGCGTTCTTTTACAATCGTTGTCATAACTTCTTATCTGCTTTGGTGGCTGCTCATTTTCCCATTCCGATGCTTAATTAGTTTCACACAATTCCCGAGAGTCACCAGTATGAAGTTGGCTTACATTGTCTGCACTGTGTTGTCTTTCAAAGATTGAGAATGTGGACGCTGTGAGAACAAAGGTAGTCAAATGTGGGCTCTAGAATGTTTTCTCCAGCACCATGTGAAGCTTGGCGTTGCCCAAATTAAGCTGTCCCTCAAGTATTGACAGCATTTTCTTTTTCCAATGATTTTGTGCTGTTCATCCCCCTGGCCTATTCGCCATGAGACTTGGCAAAGATGCCGTCAGGTGATGGACACAACTTGCTCCTGTACACGGTCTCCAAGTCCTAGATATTCTTCGTGTAACAGCTTGTGGTTATTGTGTTGGTTCTTTCCACGTGTGTTCAACATCTATTACTATTCATTGATACACTTTGCGATTTCCTCAAAGGCAACTTCGTCTAAATTGTGATTTGCTGTGATTTTGTGAGCCATAATTTGTAAATCGAAGAATTTGCTTCTAAACTCCAATGATTGTACTTAGAATTAATACCTGCTTCATAGATACCAGCTTAAGGTTTGTTTCTTCTCATTTTTCAAACGTTATTTCTTCCGGAACTTCTCGCTGGTTTTTTTCCACAACGCGCCAGCATTCGACGAAATGTAAACCTCTGTCGTGTGGGCATCAGATTCTTGGTCAAGCCTGGGACGTTCGGTTGATGATTCAAATGAATGGTCGCGATGTGTATATTCAGCCATCCTCTACATGGATTTCCTTTAAGGGCCTGTTTAGAAGTCTTTCGGCCTTGACATGTGTATGTTGATCAAGTGCCTGCAAGAAACGTAGCGATTTTTTGTAGTTGTGTTGAGCTTGGGATGAATCTTGAAGTGCTCGAATGTAGTTTTATGAGATTGATAAAACTACCTTGCAAGTGCTTTCGCAATCTTGAGGACATCCTGGTTGTAATGGTTTTCTTTTGGTTAGTGTGAATATAACGTGACATTTTAAGCTAATGTTTAGCAGTGCAATTTCCAAAGTCATCCTGAGCCCTATTAGTGGTTATCATACTCCCAGTAAGGGCCTAAATTATTTTTAGATTTTAAATTGGTCTGATTATGTACATGATTTGCCAGGCCTGTGGAGGGATCCAAGCTTTGCTGTGGGATTTGCTTCCAAGTATGCAATGAGCTCCCGATACCCTCAGCTATATATCAGTGAACTGTTGCTTATATCATCATTCAGTTTTGCATTTTATCTGCATGCAAGGTCAGTTGGCAACAGCAGCAATCGTCTTCAGATCCAGATAAGCCTCTCCACACACACCACCTATCTGCTCATTGGAACATTCTGCATTTTGCAACACGCAATGGTATCGTCAGTAGATATGGTACCACAGCTCTCTGCACGGTTCTTAGAACCTTCGCACACAAATCAAGATTGATGCAAAAACTTTTGAGAATATTAACGAAAATTCTTGCCGGTTCTTTCTTGAACCCCCTTGACCTCAGCCTCCGACATCCAAAGTGGAAAGGGTTTTCAACAAGTCACTGCACACACACCCCCCCCCCCCTCCTGGTCGAACAGTTGTTGCTAATCATGTATCTCAGTGGCTCCTCTTCTCCAGTTCGTGGGCAAAAAGTTTTCCATCATGTTGTCAGTTGTTAGAATGCCGACTGCACACAACTGGGTGAAAGCCCACATGATATTGACTTGTATCGAGTTGCATTGAATCATGAACAGAGAAACATCCGCAACAAGAGGGAACCTCGTGGGGATCTCCCTGTGGGACAGCCTTGGCTGTTTGATGGGCAGTGTCCAAGGCAGCTACCACTTGTCAACAAAAAAAAGGGAACGAAGCTCATGGCGTACTCTACTACCAGACAATAGACTGGTCCAAAGCTGGCCATGACCAGCTTCTGCTTCGATTTTGCCTCCTTGGTATCCGAGGTTTGAGAAGCAAAACCAAAGTTCTACGCAACAAATATGATTCAGGCCTTATTCCCAGAACCTGGTATGTGTCTTACTCCTCCAAACACTCTTTTTAGTAAACATTTCTCTGCAACCTGTTTACTGATCCTTGAATATGATATTGAGCGTTGGTATCCAAGTGTGTTTCAACTTAACCGCGTTAGATCTTCTCTAATTCTTTCTTAATGGGGGAAATGAGAAGAAAAGAAAGGAAAAAATGTTTGTAGCATTTGGAGTAGTTCAAGTGCCAGCAGGTTGCTTCTGTCTGTGTCAGGAAAAAAAGAGAGTGTATACATTGGCTTTTATTCAATTTGGAAACAAAAAAATAAAATAAAATAAAAGCTTTGGTGATCGGGGATCAGAGGTCGGTTTGAATCATTGATTTGTGTCATATATATATATATATATATATATGTAAGTTTTTGGTTATTGAATCATAAGATGGTGCATTCCTTCCCTAAAACTGTCTGAAGTGTATCAGATCATTTTTTACTTATTCATTAATTTTTTATATCCATGGAGTATTTGTTAGTTGCTGCATGCAGTTAGGATTTTATTTTCATTGTTTTCTTGTGGGTGTAATAGTGATTGATTAAAGAATGTGGTGTTTCACCTCAGGCCAAAAAAAGACCTAAATGTCCCAATGAAGGTTTTCAATATTAACTATATTCCATTCTTTCTATGTGGTTTGAATTAATCTTTATTTTAGCTTTGTTCATTTCTTATTACGGTATCTCGTTTGTTAGTGGCTAAAATGTAATTATAAAATCTGTTTTCTTTATTCATTACACCTTTTATTTTTAATAATCTTATATACTATCTTAATAATTTTTTGAACATTTTTGGGTTGTTGATATTGCATTCCTAAGTTGTGTGCAAATACTATCACTTGTGTTCAAAAACAATTGCTTATTAGACTAGTAATAAATATATACATAATGAATGATCTTTAAAATATCTTCAATAAGATATCAATTATGATTAAGTACAAAAGAATAGAATGTTTTAATTCAATACTTTAATACAAGAAAACACTTACAAGAAAACACTAACAAGATTAAGAATGGCTTTAATCTTTTCTCTAGTGTACTAATCATGTGAAAAAAATCATAAAAATTATAACATATGTATGTCAAGTATCTAAATTGCATAATTCTTTTATAGTAGGTATTTTGGAGTAAAAAGTTTTTAAAAGAAATTATTGTCACTATATTATACATCTAAGAAGTTATTCATTGAATTAAATGAAGATATTGTCTACCTAATCTATTTTTATTATCTTCTATTTACTTAAATTTACATACACTTGTTAAATATATTATATATTTTTAAATATTTAAATTTATGTTTTTAAAAAATATATTGATTTATTAAAATAAAAATATATAATCACATTAAAGATAAAAATTATGCTTTTTAAATCTATTAAAAAAAACATGATTATTTTTTAATAATAAATATATATATTTTTAATATGTATTTATTTTTACATACATCAATTAATTTTATTATCTTATATCAAAGTAATCGGAATTATAATATATTAAATTAAAAATAAATTATCTCTAATATTAACAACACTTGATTAAAAAGCTAATTTAATATTTATATATATATATATATATATATATATATATTATATAGACTACAATTGTCGCAAATACACTATATAGAAGATTGAACAAGAAGTTAAACAAAAGAGTTTCAACATGAAAGCTAGCATGAACTTGATTAAACTAGATGAGTACAAGATCAACACCAAGAGAGTTGAGCTAGAATTCTAAGACATAAAAAATATTAAAATTTTAATTTGATCTTAAAATTAAAATATAATTCATATATAAACAATATTTCAAATTTTGATAAGTTTAATGCTTGTAAAACGATATTTCAAATTTTATTTGTAAAAATAAATAAATATTTCTACAAATTTAAATTCTGTGAGAAAATTTTAAATTATATATATATATATATATATATATACACTAAAAAATTGATAAAATATTACAAAATACTTCATAAGAAAATCTAAATTATAAATATGATAATTGATAAACAAAAAAAAAATTAAAATATCTTTAAAAACCAACATATATCATGTCATGCAATAATCCATGCATGTATAACTAAAAATATATAAAAATACATGAAAAACTTACATATAATTATTAAGATTTATTTCTTTTTTTAGTTATTATACATTTTGTATTTAAAAATAATAAATATATATATGCATACACATGCTTCTACAAAAGTTTAATATGATTTTTGTGCATTACATTAGTGTATATGCTATTATTGTCAAACAGGCTTATAAAAAATAGAAAAAATATATATATTATTAATTTTTTTAAAATTATGATTTATAAATATGAAATCTATAAAACAAAATTTATATATATGAAGCTATTGCATTTTTAATGAATACTAACTACTATTAATAGTAATATATATTCACTTTGTATAATACATTCTAATCTCTTTAAAATACAAATACAATAATTTATTTTATTAAATAATTTTAAATACTGAATTTTTTTAATCTATTAATTTTTGACGGGATATGAATAAAAGCGTTTAAAATTTTGTGATTAAATCCATTTGATTTCATGAAGTATTATTTTTAGGCTAATTTTGTATTAAAATTTGTGCTACATTTATTTAAATCGTCTTATGTCATAAAACAATGTAACAACTTAGAGACGAGCCTGTTTGTTGGTAAAAGTTAACCAATCAAAAAGTAATCAGAATAAATAAAAATAATTGGATGGATTTTTAGAGTTTGAATTTCGGTTTGAAATAAAAAGACTCAAAACTTTTGTGAAGTAAATACACGAGGAATAAAGTTCAAAATGTATTCTAATCAAGTAACTATTAAAAACACACAGAATAACATAATAAAGAAAAAACATCTAAAAGCCATAATGACATGAACATGAGCATGCGTTGACAACTCACAACCTACAATACAAGCAAATATAGAACCAAACAATAGTTTTTATATATTATTATTTTTTTGTGGCATATTGTGGCCCTTTAATATATGCACATCTTCAATGCATTTATGTACCCACATGTCTACTAATAATGACCCTGTGATCATTCGTGCGTTTGAAACGAATCACCCATATAATACAATAATAATAATAATAATAATCATACAAAAGATTTTCAAAACATGAAATCATACATGAATTCAAGCATATACAAGAAAAGAGAATTTAAAAAACGGATATTTCTATTAAAAGCAACAAATGTACACGAGAAAGAATCATCCCATCGCATTGGAAGTCACGCCCATCGGGTCCACAAGTGCTAATAAAAACACGCATATGTATATATATATATATATATATATATATATGTATATAACTATCTAAACACATCTAAATATAAATATAAATATATATAAATGTGTAAACTTGGTGCATCTTTCCCAAGTCCCGAGGGGCCTAAGGAGATAGAGATAGAGAGAGAGAAAAATGGTTTTAATGAATGAGGTGCTTTGGAGAGATCCAATCACATTGACCACCATTAAAAGTAAAAATGATATTAATGTTAAAAGTAATAATAACAATAATAATAAAGATTATTTAAAAGTCAAACATTTGAAGGCCATTTCTACTTCCGACCCAGTGTCCACGCTGGACTCACTCTTTCAAAGAAGCTTCCGTGGCAACGGCTCCATCAGGTTCCACGAAATTGTGTGACAGGAGGTCAAACTTCGTGACTAGTGGTCAACTTCAAAGGATTGTTTGGGTGGGTAATTTGGTTTCCTGAAAGGAAAAGAAAGGGGACAGGTAAAAGAAAAAGTGAACACGGAAAAGAAAAAGTGAAAAGGTTTCTTCTCATTCCTTTTTCATGAAAACAACCTTGGCGATCAGTTTACTAAACCATAGTGAACATTGGATTTTATATCACAATAGATTGAACATAAAATTTCAATGGCTTCCTATGCAATTGTGTCATTCCTATGCTAATACTTTCTTGGTGAGCATAAAATATTTTGTAGATAGCATTGCAAATATCAAAGCTTGACAAGATATTACTGCTAGTATTATTTTGAAAACTTGCACATGCAAATATCATTAAAAGTTAATAAATAATGATGCAAAATCTTAGAAAGTTGTGTTTTGAAGTGTTGTGTGGATGCTTTTTAATTTAAGAACATGCCTATTTCCCCATGAGTCACCTAAAAAACATTTAAACTGTATTGGGACTTTGACAAAAGAAATTGCCTTTTGAATATAACAAGATTACAACAAGATATTGAAATTTGGAATGGGTTAGATCAAAGATTGTCAAGTAATAATATGTTGGTTCATTTAATATTTTTTCACATTTTACTATTAATTTGCATGTTAATGGATTATAAATTTGTAGCATGTATAAGTTTGTCCATAATACATCAAACAAGTTTTTTGAATTAAGCAAATTTTTAATATTTTCCCCCAGAAAGGCCCACAGCTTCCTCACAAGTGTAAAACAACCAAAAATTCCATACACCATTGGGAGCATTAAACCTGTAAATCCTCAAACAATAGCACTTGTTTTTTCTCTCTTTCTTTTGAAACAAATAATTTAACAAGGAAAATTTCTTTCCAAATATAATTCTTGATTCTATATCTCTATATGTATATCACATTCTTGTTGGAAAAAAAGTATTGTTGAGTTTGACCAACCCACAAAGTGTAGATAGTTATAAGTAATTGCTTTGATTTAAGAAATTTGAGTTTCATAAATTCCACATTCAAATACATACATACATACATACATACATACATACATACATATATACACTTGAAGAACATAGTTCTACACAGGGGATATGAAATTCTTCGTTTAGAATATTACAAATTCGAATATTCGTTTGAATTTAGAGAATGACACAACATTCTAAATGCACTGTCTGTTTCCCTTTTTCTTCAGCATACACTTCGCAAAATTGACAGTTGGTTTATTACATGGAATATTGCACTACTTTTATTCAACTGTAGCAAAACAATATTGTGTGATTTGATTTAATTTGATTTAATTTTATTTTGCCTTTTCCGTGATTTCCTATTTTCAAAATACAATCTACCATGTCAGGTATATCACAATGCATAATTTTATTCGTTCAACATCTTTCACTGTAGCATTTTGCAAATTCGATATATGTATTGTACACATTTTGGCTCAAAGATTATTCAAAATTCAGTATGTTATCATCCACAAATTCGTGCAGATTTTTTCTAAATGTGGATAGATTATATCCAAAATAGATTATTTATGATGTTTTTTGGATGGAAATTATAGTGGGCTAAATTTATGGCATTTGGTAATTGTCTTTTTTGGTTTTTTCGATTTTGAAGTTTGATTAGAGTAATAATTTGTAAATTTTATTTTTTCAACCAATTTTATTTGAAAATCAATAATTTATAGAATTAATGCCATAATGTGTATATATATATATATATATTATAATATTATATATTTTGTTTTTTTTAAATATAAATATATATGTATATATATATATGTGTGTGTGTGTGTGTTTTTTTCTTTCCCTCTTTCATGGTTTCCTAGTTACAATTAAGAAATTAGTAAGTTGGGGAAGAGAGCTTGTTTTCATTGAGATAAATAAATAAATAAATAAATAAATAAGAATGAAAGTTCCACCTGGAATGGAAGTAGGGCTGCATACATACATACATACATACATACATACATACACACACACACACACACATATATATATATATATATATATATATACATATTGCTAATGTTATTGGTTGGAAGAAGAAATAATGTTGTAGAATATCCAACTATCTTGTCAAATCTCTTCTTCTTGTGTTTATTCTAGATAAATCCCAGAATCATAAAACCCTGGGAGATAAGTATGATCTTGCAAAAAAAGTTAAAGTGAGAAGAACATGTATAATACATAAATACATAAATACATACCAAATACCTAATTTTTGCAATATTGTCCTAGTTTAGATAAACACCTTTTTCCAATCTAGTAAGAGTTATTTTTTTCAAAATGATGTCAAATATCATCATGTGTTTTATTTTGTGTGAAAAAAATGCCATCTTATTTAACTTCTAAATGTATTGGACAACTTCTCTAACATTTACAAAGTCCCATTTTCCCCACTACCTAACACCCACCAACAAGATTTTAATTGTTTACAAAAGTGAACATTCTAAACATGTTTTGCTTCAAAATGATGCCCAAGCGACCCAAACACCAACAAAAACATCCGGACCAATTTTTAGGGTTAACATCCCAAAGAGACACAACAGAAGCTTGGACGGTGATGTGGGAACAAAAATTAGGGTTCCAAAGTCACTGACGTGGACATCTTCGTTGTCCACTTCCGTCCTTCGTCGTGCACTGTAGAGCTATCTTCGGCGAGGTATTTTTGTCGGATGCGAGAGGACAAAGATGTGAGCATTAATTTAAAAAAGAAAAAAAAAGAAAAAAAAAAAAACCCACATTTACCTACGAAAGGTGATGGAATTTGTTGTCATCGCCTTCAATAGAACGAACCAAACGCCCCAAGTAAAAAGTTATGGGGTGAATCAACCACACACTTCCACCAAAAATTGGGGTTTCATTCCTTCTTTCATCGACCCATCTATCCACCCTTCGTCTTCTTGTGGTTTTCACCATAGTTTTCTACGAAAGGCTTCACTTCGCAGGGAGAAGTTCCAGATGGGGTTGAATGTCTCCTACAATTTGTTCGATACAGAATCAGATTGACTATGAATTGGTGGTTTTTCCGGTGTGGAAAACGTGAGAGGTGAAGCGAAAAAAAAAACAAAAGGCTGGGAAGGGTATGAATGTATGTAATACACATACACATGGTTTACATACACATGTGTATGTGTGTATGTGTGTACGTAAACCAAGTATATATATATTTGTGTATTACTGAGTGGGTCTTCCGCGTGGTCAACGCCGAATCGAGGTGCAAGCTGATTGGGTCACATGGCGTGGTGAACAGAGTTGCTGCGATCACGATGACGCCGAAATCAATAAGCTGTGGGGCTGCCAAGATGTGATGATAATACCACAGAGGAAGAATAGAAAAAGAGCACAATGTACGACTCGAGGTGGAGTTATTGCTGCCGCTTTCGAGCCGCGGTGTCGTGAAGAGCCATCGAAGTTGTGCGGATTCCAGGGGGAACAGTGCGTGGAAGTGGTGACGAGATGAAAGAGGAGATTGGTGCATGGGGGTGCGTTTTGACCTGAAAGACGATTAGGATTGAATGGATATCATTGTACTGCTTCGGACAGGATTAGGGGTTGATGAGGGACGGATGGACAGTGGTAGGATCGACGGAGGGATCGATCGATCAATCGGCGATGATGAGTTCCCTGGTTGTCACGAGATTTCACGGCGGAGTTTTAACTTACGGTAGGATGTGGTCATGGCCGTTTTTAACTTCACGTAGAACAGTAACGGGAAGTTGCTTTTGAGCGTGAGATAACGAAGTCGAGGGGGGAGGGGCAATCTCGCCGGCGCGGGGTCAGTCCAAAGTCGTGGGAGAGCGACGAGTCTTCACATAGCTGTTTGACCGATGCAAGCGGAGTTTCTGCCTCCCACTTGCGCCCCTCAGCTGCTGGTCACTATAGCGGAATAATGAGGTGTTAATGGGTGGCATTGGAGAGAAGTCTGGGGCCTGCCGAGCCCAATCTTGGTGCTATCATTGATGTTCCTCCGAGATGCTAGTAGTGTTTTTTATTTCCAGTCAATCGCATGAGTGGCCTGGCTGCGTTTGTCCTGCTCCGCATCGCATCCCTAGGGCAGATTTCCTCCGTCACTGCACCTGCTGACACTCATCAAAATATCACACCCAGGTCCAGAGCTCTGCACATCTGCAACTCTGGAGGCCCTGCAAGCTCAGGGATCTTCTTGGTGAGGACTGAGCTGGGCGAATGAAACCGGCACTGTGTGCCTGTTCTCCAGCGCTAGAGTCAAAAGTAAAAAAAGAAAGAAAGAAAGAAAACAATAAGTTATATTTTTATGTTTTTGTTTTGTTGGGCCTAGTTCGTCAGATCATGCTCCGGCAAAGCAGTGGCTTCATGCACTGACTTCGACTGGCAACTTGAAGAATGGGAAAATGTGTCCTGCGGACACGCTCCCATCAGTAACGTAACTTTTCTACGAGTCGTTGGGTTGTACAAAGCTCCTGCCGTATTGGAGCTGCGCGGAGAGGTGGTGTGAACAGGTCCGTGAACAGGTCCTGGAACTGTGACTTCGGTTTTCACGGTGAGATAAAAATTAAAAGAAACATCGAAGTATAAAAAGGTGGAGAAGGAGACGAAAGAGGTGAGAAGTGGAGCGAAAAATGGGTGGAGCTTATTGACTAGGCAGAAACAGAAAAGCATGAGGAGGGTGAGGTGGCTGGACCAGTAGCATCTGATCAGGCCAGGCTTGGATATTGGAAGGGGCATTAGGAATGCGTTGTGGTGAGAAAGTATGCAGATGTACGCGACGCGCCGTGTCCTTGCGTGCATCGTGGTGGCGTATGAGTATGGCAGGCTGCTTCGGACAAGCACTGTAGCTGGGTGAATCTAAACGGGTGCTGTGGAAAAGAGTAACACATCCAAAGCTGACTTCTCTCTCACGCTCGTTTTGCGACATCTGCCGTTGCACCAGTAGTTTGTGACAATTTAAGTACCGGGAAGCACAGAGTTTGAAAGTGTTGCGCATCGTCGATTGATGCGAATCACATGCATCAGTCTTGCCTGGGAGAGGCAGTCCTGGTCTCCGCGAACATTTGCACCTACAATACGTTCCATGATTGTTCGCAGCTTCATTAACCCCAGTTGACGCAAACTGGTCGGGGAGAATGTCAACTGGAAGATACAATGGGAGAGGTTAGGAGCCCAGTACTAAGGAACTATCCAACTGATCCATGCTGTTACGAAATGGCAACTTATGAAATACAGCAGGCATGAAAAACACTTCCTGAGTGCCATTCATGCGCAAACTTGTCGTGCTTGTCAAGTGGATTGATTAACACAAGCATCACGTGCAGGCTAGCAAGTGTAATCATGGTTAAGGCATGAGTGAGAAAGGTGAGTAAAATCTGGCAAGGCGGAAAACAATGAAGGAATGATCAAACAAATGCAACTAAAATTAGACGATTTGATCTGAAGGGATCGGCATGCACTGGTGCACGAACAAGTCATGAGAAAGAAAAGAATGTAGTGGGAGAGGAAGAAATGGCCATAAATAGCGAGAATTTTACAGGCAAGCTCCTCACAGCTCCTCTGGACGAAGAGGCTCCTACGAATTGCGGCAAGTAGTCTAGCTATTCCCATACACCAGGAGTACTGTCTAGATACACTTTATCATCATCCTGGAGCCTCCGTCCCCGAGGGACCTCTGGTATTTATTCCATTCCACAGGAGAAGAGCCTCGGAGATGGATGCAGCAAAATAAGGTAGAAACAGATTGCCCCAATTATTTTGCAAAACCGATGAAGATGAATAAGGTGGATCTCGAGCAGGTGAAGTAATATTATAGAGAAAGAGAAAGTGAAAAAGAGAGCGAGCGAGAGAGAGGGAGGCAGAGATAGAGAGGTGCTCACAGCTATACCTATACCTTGTGGAACCTATACAGATCGACGGAGCGATTCGCGATTGATCTTCTTGCGTACACGTAATTGGAGATGGTGAAGCTTGGAGGTGAAGCGTAGGGTATAAAGAGAGTTTAGACAGATTCACTGAAGGATAAGATAGAAGTCTAAGAGCATGTATGTACAAAGAAGAATCCGTCGTTGCCGTCTTGCTGCAGAAGCTCCGCAAACCATCGTCCTCGTCGTCTTTGTGACAAAAATAATTCACCTTTTGTAGAGGGACACCAGCACTTCAGTGGTGCCGTTGTATATAACCTGTAACGACCAAAACTGCGTATGTTCAAACAGTTCGCTCACTGCTGCGTCGGCATGCCATGCACATTCCCGTTGTTCATGCCGCCGACCACACCGCTTAGGTTGATGCCGTTCACTCCATTTACACCGTTCTGAGAGCTATCCGATGCGGCATTCGGCATTCGCTTTCGCTTTTTCTTCTCGTAGGCGATGCCTCGCGCCTTGGCCTGCATCTCACGCACCTCGCGCAAGTACAGACGCACTTGGCGAGCGCCGAAGGGATTGCTCTCGGGTTTGCCCCCATTCTCTTCAAATGCCGCCCGTAACCTACCGATGAGCGCGTCGAGGGATCCCCACGCTTGCCGCAGCGGACATGGACAGGGATGTGGGGGATGAGGCAACCCAAAGAAGGGGCACGATTGGACGTGCACCTTGGTCTTGCCGAATTGGTCAAGATAGCGCACAAACTCTAACACATGCACTCCTGTACACCGTGCCAGCGCTAAGGGTGGACGATGATTTCGAAGATACTGTCCAAAGGTGTTCCAGTCTCGCCGCTTCTGTGCCTCGTAGCGACTCGGCGCTCGTGAGTTTTGGTCATGCTGGGGGTCTACCTGCATCCCCAGAGGAATGAGCCCGTTCGGAACGAGGCCGGACGATTCCATGAGGGATGATGGCCCCGCCCCGCCATGGGCATCCTGCAAGTTGCCAAGGGCAACTTCACCACTCATAAGCGACTGTATCCGGCTGGCGAAATCGTAGTTTTCTCTAATCGTGGCGGGTTTAAAATCCCGATCCAGAGATCTTATGAAGTGTTCGTCCCGGATGAACGACGGCTCACCTGGTCTGCTACAGATCACAGGGTGGAGCGTCGCCACCGTCGGGTTTAGAATGCTCCGGAACTCGGAGTTGCGGAAGTCACTTGTCATCCAAAGAAGCTGTGTCAACGGGGAATCTCTTCTACAGAAGAATTGAGACACAACATAGCCTGGACCGCTCCCGATGCAGCCAGTAATCTCCACACGACGATGAAGGGCTGTAGTCGGATACACGATTGATTCCTTAAAAATCTGTAAAAGGCGTCACAGAGGTTGTTAGTCTTCACCATGCATGTAGCTACTACAAAACAACTCTTAAAAGTGAAGAACTGCAGGCAGATGGACGAAGAAGCACGACCATTGATCAGAAAGTATATTGTGTCGGTAAAACGGAACATCGAGATAAAAAGCGAATATCTGTATAAGATGACTTGGGGATGGAGCTTTTGTATGACTAGCTACATGTATTTCAGTGCACTATCTCCGCGAATGTGATCTATTTGGGGGCCGCATGAGCAACAGGTGCAGGAAGCCGAGCTCATAATAAAATGTGTAACTCCTCATTTAAGGTAGAATGCGATGCTCTCAGGACACGGTCGAGACTTGGAAAACCTGTACAGTGATCAAGAACTCGACGCACCCAACGGCTTTGGAGAGGGAAATATGCAGCGCATTGCCTAGAGACACTATGGAAGGCGTGTTTTACAGAGACGCTCACCTCTAAGCACGATCCTCTGACGCATGCTCACAACGTTACTTCAAAGCTCAATTGCGTCGGTCGAGTCATGATTGAGATGGTGCCTTCTGCTTTGTTGAAATCTGCTGATAGCTCACATACCATGAAAACTCTTCAATGCTTTTTGGGTACTCCAAAATGTTTTTAAGAACGTGGGTGGACGTTCTATGAGTGAAGGCAAGGTTCTGTGCTCGATAAAAACCGTGAGGAGCAACTGCAAGAAATGAATCGAATCTATCAGTCACTCTCTGAACATCACAAGAAAATGCAGTTTACCTCAAAACGCCATTCCTTTTACCGCTAGTCACTGAAGCTTGGCAACTAGAACAAGGCAAACGACCTCTACCGAAGAATTTCGTTGAGATCTTCCGGAGTGAGAGCACGCAATAGTTGCTACTACATCCTAGCCCGCTCATAATTGAACCTTACGATGCGGTCGGTTTCAGGTATGTGTGGACTCCTTTCCAAAAATATAGAAATTTCAGGGACCACGCATGTGAATGCGGAAGCTATCAGCGCACTCTACACCTGAACGAAACTTCTCTGAGCTTTAGCATACTCTAAATTTGTTTGGGGATGGAGCATGAATCAAACTTCTTGCCATCTTTAACATCCAAAGCAGATTCAAGTTCTGGGCCTGAACTTTGTGCCCGCCGAAATTAAGAGCACGACGAAGGTGGGTCATCTACAGTCGAGACCATATAATTGAAACAGTCTCGGTGGCAGCTGCACTTTCCATATCGGTTACGATTAAGCGTACGAAGCTTACACTGAATTGAGGATGTTGTAGGCTTAAGTTTAAAAATGTGTTGCACTAGAGCACAAGCTGAATTCTAAAGTAAGAGCTTATTGAATTTTAACTCGCTCATATTCCATTTCGACGAAATCAGGACCAAATAAAGTGTACCAGGAAGAGCAACTTCACGCTTGTTTGTTTCCAAGTGTCAAGTCCTGAGGTATGAATCAAGGCACTCAGGTATGCCACAGCATACATGAGCAGGCCCTGAGACAAAAACATGGTTGTGATGTGAAAGATCTGGAGGTCACCTCGACAGGTTCCAAGCTAACGCAGACTGGTACCAACAGAAACAGCCACTGTACAAGCTATGTAGAATACTCGACAATGGACGCTTGTGATTTCTCTAAAACGTCAGTATCCAGGCTCCGAAATGCACAGCACTGTGCAGCCCCCGTAATGTAACCCAACCTAAGGTGCCTGGAAAAAGTTACTAGTCTGCTAATTTCAAACTTGCGGCGCCGGAATGAACTGGAGAACACCAACAGTGGTCAACATGCAAACTAGTTAACAGCGTCGCAATTCGCAGGTCGCAAACTTCAACCACGAGGTTCCCACCCACTACCCATTCCCTCTCAAACCGCCGTTCTCACATCCCCACTTCAAACCCTCTGACACGCGCTGCTTACCGATCGATCGCGGCTAGCTACCAACCTTGGCGGCTCAGCAGCAGCAGCACACGCGCAAGCAAGTGAGAGAACCACACCTCTTTATCGCAACCACTGCTGCAGACTAACACAAACAAGTGAAGCGAAGCTCACATATCCAACACCCCCTGAACTCTACGACGGCAACACACACGCGCAAACAGAACTGGAACGCTGGCACGAAACAGATTCCTCCTCCCCGACTAATTAGCCTCCGGACGTCAGCTGAGTCTTACATGCTTCCGCTTTTCTGGGCAGGGAGTGATCCGATGAGCTCTTGACACGTCAATAAAGGCTTCCGACAACGTCAGAGAGTCCCAACGCACCCTCGCACCCCCGATCGCCGCTCCTCCGTTGCTGGTTATAACCAACGCAAGACCCTGAAGCTATAATCCGGTCAAAACCTCTCTCGACGGGCTACCTCCACTCACATCCACAACTGCTTAACACAACCACCACCACCACTGTCCCGCGCCCATCCGCACCACGTCGTCGCTACACTACCACTACCTCCCCCCCCCCCGCGAGCTCCAACAGATGGTCTCACGGCTCTAGAATTCACGCTTGGGTGAGGGAGGGAGAAAAAGCTAATGATCTGGGCTTTCGCTTACGCACGTCCGCATCAACCTGCGTGTGTGGGGAGCTCGGTAAAGTCTGGCCAAGCCGAGAGACGCGGATGAAATGGATTCAATCTTCGCAGCTCGGGTAGCCCCGTCGCGGCTTTGTCTGGTGCTCGTTACCGCCTTGGGTTGCAGGCAGGCTGAGCCCACTGACGTCGCGCCCGGGATCTGTTGCAGGTGGTAAGGAGCGCGGGGAGGGGGACGGGGGTTCGGGATTGCGGGGGTTGGGGGGGGAGGGAGAGATTATATTTATTATTGTTTTTCTTCCGGCATTTAATACTGATAATCACTGCGTGCTTTGCGGTGGGGGGAGGGGGACTTCCATCGATGCATCGGTGCCGGTCTGCGGCCCAAGATGGGTCGTCGCACTTCCGCCCGCGGCGGTGCTATTCCAGGCCCTGCGCCAGCCCATTGGCTCGCAAGATGCTCTCCACGCCCTATTCTTACCGCGTATTCTGTCCTCTCCGGTGCGCGTCCATTTGTTGTATTATATTAATTTGTGTATCAGTAAATTTGTTAATCTGATTTATATACCAATAATAAGTATTATTA